CAGAGACACACTAAGAAGAGATAAAAAAAAGAGGATGAAAAAAGCCTGCGAAAAATTAAATAGTTTGATAAATAGGCAAAAATTAAAGATATATGGGATAAGTACAAATAAGAATGTACCTTTATTGCAGATATAGTGCCATGTTCAAGCGTCATTATTCCATCGGCTACTTCCGTATCACTTATTTTTCCAAGCACAGCATTAATGCAGTTCGTCAGTTCACACAATATTACATAAAGCAGGCCGCGAATGCGCTTCACCCATGGACTGACAAGAGCCAAAGTCTGGTTACTGGAAACGAATCCGGACAGGACAGCATCACTTGCGGTGCCGAGTTTAAAATTTGGAGAGCCTACGAAAGAACCTAAGCCAAGTGTGTCGCCAAGCTTGTTGTCTTGCTCCCCGAGAATGCGCGAACTGGCTAAGTCACCACTCTCCGGGCTAAGTATTCGATCAAATTCACCAGCAAGCTGATCGACTGACTTTTGCTGGAGGCCTAAACCTAAGAGTACGACCTAGAAAGGAAGTAATCGGAGATTAAAATAATTAAATGAAGGTGATATTCGCCGCTATCCGTGTACAGCAAGAGCAATTCATGTTATGAGGAAGGTATTTTAATATGAGTTTTGTAACGAAGGACCTCAATTAGAAACGTCAAAGAAAGCAAATGGGGTGAAAGAAATTCTAATAAAATTTCTTTGGTATTTAGCCATGCTAAGAGGATGAAACAATAATTAATTTCAACCATTGGATAAGCAAGTTGAAACATAGCAGCATAGGTACCCACAGTAAGTAAACAATGGACATTGATGGAATGGTAAAGATATGATAACGTCATATAGCAACAGCAAAAATTGGGTAAATTTTTTAAGCAATATAGAAAAATTGGGTTTCAAAGAGAATGACGTAGATAAAAGTTTTAACTGACTTAATGATGACAAATTCTAATGCGAAGGCATAGATAGTTGGTCTTTTCTCAATTTGGATTCAGGCTAACAATTTCGATGTAGGATGAGACTTCAATTTTCTATGAAAGTACCAGATAATAGGATTCGTATGTCGATCTCACTAGAAGATGAATGATTTCCGTTGTACTGCATCCGTTTGGCTTTAAAAAGGCGTTCGAGTTGACACAGTCCAAGAGACATCCCCCATGGGTTCAAGTCAAAACGGGCTTAGCCTTCGTTCGTCCTGGGAATAATTCTCGCAAAATATTCAAGTTAAAATTAAGTCATGAACACCGATTGGTTTTGTTCTACATGATATATATATAAATTCATATAGATCATGGTTCGGATAGTTCTCTTATACTCGAGTGCGTGTGTGTGCTAAAGACTGTGCGGAACTAGTTAAGATTAGCTAGAAAAAAACTGAACGTCAGCTGCAGATCATCAAGGCTTAATGAATCAAGGAAAATCATGATGGAGATTACGTTGATCTGTAACTTGATGATATATAAGACTGTAGGCAGAAGAGTCAGGTTATGAAACCACCAGGAACCCCTTAATATAATAAAAGCAGTCTGGCGGAACAGCCATAAGTGGCTGAGTACAGGGCAGAGATTGGAGATGAGATAGGATGGTCTCAGGAGCAGAGGTTGTATGCTTATGGTATGTCAACTACGAAACGCAAGATAAGAGAGGCTAGTGAAATGAATAGATTAGGAAATACGTTGCATGTGAGGAATGGTGATAGAAAGCTGAATAAGAATTACTTATTCATGATTGAAAGAGAGGTGTTGAGTCACTGTCTAAAATAATACGACTCAATTTTTCAGATGAGTGATGGTTCTAATAAGTTAACACTCGCTTAACAAACACAAGGTCATCAGCTAAAATAGACTTGCGGAACTAGGGAATCTCAGACGAGCTTCTTCTTGGGTCATAAAATCTTAATAATACAGACTAACGGGTTCGGAACGACGGTTTTGCAACGCGATTTTCAAGTGTGCAGACTTACATTTCAACAATTTTACCAGGGTTACTTATGAACTAATGCAATCTATCATCCTTTTTTCTTTTCTGTTTTCCTTGGGTCAGTAAGCCTTGATGATTAAGGGCTGACGTTAAGCTTTTTTCTAATTACTCTGAGTTATGACCGGCTTTACGTACAGACGTTACCATACACACACATACATATACACTCGGGAATAAGTTAATTAACCAAATATATATACGAGGTCAACCCACTTCTATTAATTAACCAAACTTTTCTATATTCATTTATAGCTTTAAATTTTTTCGCAATAGAAAAAAGCCAGTCAACCTTTTTGACTTATTGTTAACTTGAGGTTTTTACAATAATGAGTCCTAGCTCTGACGATGTTCGTCACATGACTAACAAAAGCTG